AATCGATCAGCACGCGCGGATTGTTTATGAAAAGTGAATTTGAATATCGGCAAGGGAGAGAGGTTTCGCTGCCGCAACTCGCACTACGTGCGAACAAACACACTTGATGGCAAACAAAGCCATCGGCGGCAAAGCAAACGCCTGCTTTTACTTGTGCGTGGCACTCTCGATTGCTTCGGCTTATCTTTGAACAACAAAATAGCGCAAACAGCACTCATCCCCCACCGCCATTATTCCTCGCGGCTGCATTGAATTTTTGCAACATTCCCCGAGGAAGATGATGTTTATTACAGATCGTTGGCCCGATTTTCTAATCTGCATTGTAAATTCTCCAGCAAAAAATATAAAATATGTATCCCTTGTGACGACCGTTCACAAGTTTTTAGTGGAGGGGGAGTTTCTCGGTGTTTTTTTTTTGTCAGCCGGAAACGAGTTTGTTTGGTTTGAGAAGATGATAAATAGGCTTATTTGAATATTTTCAAAAGCATTTATATTCCTTCTTTTTTCTGTTTGTGAATTCAAGCATTTACCCAAGTCTGCTGAACGATTACTAAGAAAAAACATAAATTTTCCAAGCATTAATTTATCTGCAAGTTTGTAATAAAAATATGAAGAAAGTTGGAAGTCACTAGAGCTCCTAGAAATGAAGTTCTCACGACTCTGGTGCTTAGCGGGAAGCATAAATTTTAATCTGCTTGCTCAGCACTCTTACTTAATAAGTTACAATTGCGGCTATGGGAATTCATAATTTCTGTCTCGTATGCAGCAAAGTTTTGAACCCAAGAGGCAATTCTTCAGAAATCTGGTGACATTTCTTCCGCAGAAATCCAGGGCGAGCTGCAAACTCTTAGCTCCTCTCACTTGGAAGTTCAAAATAAAGTTCACATCAATAACAGTTGTGTTTTTCTTTTGCAGTTTGTTGAAAATTTAATCAAAAACTCTCAGTCACTCACTATTGGAATGAATATAAAATTTGACGATAATGATAAGTATATTTAATTTTATGCCCGTTAATAAAAGTTGATCAAGAACGTGGCAATCAGATCTTCATATTTTATAACAAGTTAATATACATATTAGCAACTGATGAATATGAGCCAGAGTAATTTTGTTTTATGACAAAATTTAATTCTTCTTTTAATCACCTCAAGTCTGGAACTCTACTTATAATTTACTTAACTTTAAAAATCCAATGTAAAAAGGATCGTTTATCAATAATAATAAATAAAAAAAATTAAAAACCGCAGCCTGAAAACTTTTTTTTTTTTTTTTAGTTATTTTACTAACTATTTTTTTTATTTATGTAAACTGCTTTTTAAAATTTAATTTTAGTAATCAAATAGTAAAAAAAATATATAATACAAATTTAACATCTTCATATCCAGAAAAAAATCTTCATAAGTGTACAAACTCCATTGTGTTGAGGTGAGCAAATCAACAAAACAACTTTTTTGAAGAGACGCTTACAATAGTTTTGCGCAATGGTTAGCGCAAGTGGGAATGCGAAATTCAAAGGGATGTACGGCACGGACGGACGGAGCTTATTCATGTGAGACTCATCAGCACGTAGGTTTTCGCTCTCTTGCAACACGCAGAGCCCTACTCCATTGTGAGACGAGACTGGTAGCAGCAGAGGCACCACAGCAGCACGCCGAGTTAGCCGCATTGCGCGAATATGGAGATGAACAAAAGTGGAATTCAATTTTTCTCCCTGCGCTACAGAGACGCACGGTCGGAATTTAAATAATAAGCAGTATCAAATTCACTTTGCGTCGACTTAAAAATTTATCGGGGAAGCGTGCGCTCTGCGAATCGGATGGAGCGAGTATTCCAGGTGAAACCGCAAAACCCTCTCTGGAATGCAAATCAAAATTGCTCCTGTGGGAATATCGGAGGTCGCATATTTCGGCTCGGCGTAATTCAGTAGACGGATTCCACTTGCTACGTTTAATTTAAATAGCTGATAAGTGAGCTGTGTAAACGCCACGATTGCAAACTGATATTGGAATTCATATCAAGGAAGTCACGTTAATTCTTGCCGCTTAATAGCAGACAAAATTATTTTGTACATCAATTTAATAATTGTTTTCATTCATTTAAAGCATGTGTGTGTAAACATAATCTCAGCATTTATGTAATTTATACTGCAATATTATTGTTTATTCATCCAAAATTTTAACATTGATTTAATTTTTACCGTTTTGAAAATAATTATTTAGACACGGAAATTCACCTCATAATTTGTATTAATTAAAAATATCAGTTTTTTTTCTTTTAATCAAAAATAATGATTTCGACTGTGTGGCACAGTGGTTAGTGCGCTTGGCTGATAATCTGGAGGCCTAGGGTTCTATCCTGGCCAGGGTCAGGGCTTGAAAAAGTTCTAATTCTGACCGGCTAGTTCACAAGACTACAGAAAATCATAGGAGGTGCATTAATCACTGCGACAGGCAGATTCGGGAGGAATTGCAGGCATTTCGTCTGCAATTTCGGCTATGCTGTCTGGTGTTTTCTGCGGTTTCCATCAGACATTCCAGGCGAATGCCGGCATAGTTCCCATTCATAGGCCGCAGCCGCTCACCTTCCTCATCCTTCAAATTCCCAACAACCAAACCCATCCTATGCTCCTCTCTCCCCGGCCCAGTGGGTCGCAAGGTCACCGTGTTATCGCCCCGAAAGGGGAGAATCCGAGTTATCGGCCCTTGCGATTTAGCAGCCTGTCTGCTACCGCTGGTGCCTTTCCCAAGAGGGATAAACAATTAAAAAAAAAATAAAAAAAAAAAATAATGAATAATGATGTATTGCTTTAACTTTTTTCCCTGGAAAAATGTGGCGGATTTTTCGTCTGTCCAATTTGGTCGACTGAATATTGATCGCACCAAAAATCAAATTCAAAAGAGCGTTATAGCAATCAAAAATAAACAAACAACTCTTTTACTGCCGAATAAAAAATCCAATTTCGCCGTGTAATGATCAACCACAAAGTTGCAGACAAACATGACGGCTCGAGTGGGATATCAACTTTCGGTATAAATTTCGCACTGCACGTCACACAGCAGAGCAGGGCGGCGCGCACAGAGGCGCGTTTGTAAAATTAATGTAGCCGAGGCGTGTTAATCAAGCCGGTTTTAAATTACGTTGGCGGCGGTGCGCAATGAAAATGCACACGGCCGCTTCGAGAGAAGCCGCTAAACTATTTATAAAGTTGATAATGGCGTGTGTGTGAGAGAGAGAGGAGTGCCATGCAGGCGCCGTCCGGATAGGCAACCTGGCAAAGTTGCGGCTCAACCGGAGGAGGCACAACCGACGTGCCATTATTATTAAAGCAGCCGTCCACAGCGATATTCTCGTCGGCGCCAAATGAAATGGGCAGATTTCCTCAAAGTTTCGTATATGCTTTTTATTATCTTTTATACCAGAGAGCAGCTCAACGTATGTAAATGAAATTTGCAAGAACGTATTTTTCAGGAAGAGACAAAAACCTATGTTTTAATTAAGTTTTCTGTGAATGTAAATAATGCAAAATAAATTAAACAATTTATTTCCATAAATTGAATATTAATTTATTGTTTAAAAGTTTTGATGCAACGTAAAGATGGAAAAAAAATAGATTTTTGCCCACAATTTTGCGATTTCATATCACGGCTATTGGAAGTTTATAATATACTTTTCGTCTAAAGCGACAGTTGGTTTTGAATTGAGAAACTAAATTATTGTTAAGCATTTTTTTTCGTTGAAAAAAAATAGATATCTCATTTTAATTCTGTTTTAAATGAATTTTACATGTTAATTTCTTAAGTTTTTTATGAAAAATTGAGAAAAACTTTTTATTCGTTCCCGCACATTCACGTGGCCATTTTGAAGACAGTACAAGTTGCATACCTACAAGGAGAGCTACCCACTTGAAAACGTACCTTGCTTGGTGGCTGCGAGGCCAAAGTATTAAAAGGCGACGTTCGTTCACCTTTCGCAGACGACGAGAGCCGTGCCTGCGATTACGCCAATTTAATTTGTCTCACCGTCCGTGCGCACCCGGAAAGAGCAACCAGCACGGCAGGGAATCTGCCCAGCCGAGTTGTGTGTCTCTTTTTACGCGTCTTTAACACTCAAGAGGGGCTGCTTGCTTCTGCTCAAGTGTAGCTAGGCGCTTCTTTTTATATTCCTGGGGAATATGCTCGCTCTCGTGCATTAACTTATAAAATTTGAAAAGCCGCAAGAGTGGATGGTGACCTGGAAAGACCTCAAGTTACACCAAGAGGACTTTCTTCTTATTTCAAAAGGTGTATATTTTTTTTCTTTCTTCAAGGTAGAAATAACATTACTTGGATCAATTCGGAATCGCGTGCAGTATTTTTAACATTTTATATTCTATACGAAGCACTCATAAGCAATAATTTTGCAGATTACCATAATTACAAATTGGTGGAGGAAGGGAAATTCTTAAATTTATTTGAGCCTTTTTTTATTATTTTTGTCAAACCTCATGTAATCTTATTTGAAAAATTTCAACAGTGTCACTAAATAGGAGCTCTGCTAAAATTCAAAATTTTCAGTAAAATTCCTAGTATTGGGAGAGTGTTTGAAATTTTTTTAACTTTGGTTTTTTTATAATAGGAAAATTATATTTTGTAAATTTTCTTACATAAAATTTAGACGCTTCCAATAAAACTTTTCATTTCCACTTCCAGTTAAAATGTATTAAACTGTTGAAATTAAAATCTCCAACGAAGTATATCCCTAAAATAACCTCCATTCTATCTTCCTTTTTTATCTGTAAAACTTTCTCAATCTTCAGGTGGAAGCTTTTCAGTTTATTTCCCCTACCCGCATGAGAAAGCACGGAGTTGCTTTCCATGTGCAACTCAATTAAAGTATTGCAAAGCATCCACCAATACACCCTACCCCCGCGCTCGAACTTTTATTCGATCGCATCCGAAAACAAAACTTCCGTCGAGAGTTGAGAGGGAAATTGGGGAGGGGATATAAAACTTTGATCTTACCTGCAGATATCCGCCGACGCAAGAAGTCGCGTTCACCAAGGTGCCTACTTTGAATTTCTTGAATTTTATCCTCAAAATCCAATCGCGAGGCGTGCCCCTGTACGAGCGGAATCGATACCAGCACGTCATGGGCTTGCCTTCGTTTATCGAAGTCACCTCGGGACTTGTCACGTCCTCGTAGATTTCCACAGTCTTGTTGCAGTGATCCTTCTTTGGCTCGACTGGAACAGAGAAAGCCCATTTTAAGAGATAATGCTCAGATCCTCCTTGTACGGCATTTCCATCTTGTTATAAAATAAAATAAATTTACGAGGATAAAATGTCTATGCTTCTCACAATCAGTAGATAAAGTAGGAAAAGCTTAAAAAAAGTTAGGCATTTGACAGACTGATTTTTGGAAGCAAAAAAATAATAATAATAATAATTTAAATAAAATTAAAGTTATTTTGTGGTCGCGTTATCCTCAAACAATTTCACTATTTTTACTTCAATTTTATTGCTTCATGAAAATTGAATTCGTTTATTTGAAACATTTTTTCACCTCAAACATTAAATAAATTTTTATTCATTTGAAATTTTTCACTAAACAATGATATTCTTTATCATCAGTTATGTTATTTAATGTAGATTAAAATTAAAACTGATTAATTTATTTTTCTACATTCCTACAAACATTTTCAATACTCTGGAACAACTGTTAACAAATAAACCACCATCCTTATTTTTAGAAACAATTATACAAGGGTTGATTCATGGTGATTTTGGAGATCATTTTCTTTTCTTGTTAATTTTTTTTTAAATTTTGAAACACATATATATTGCATTTCGCTGCAATGTACAATGTTAACTTGAATTCGGTTGGTAGACGTTTTCCTCAAACTCCACTGAAGTGAGAATTATTTAAATAAACCACTCAGATTTTTACAGTGCCACTTCAATAAAACCATCCAACCAAGATCAAGGATAACCTTTCCAAACATTCTGCTTGTTATTATTATAATTAAACCCGTCAAAGTCGCCATAAAACCGTGGCAATTTTCGTCAAGAATCACTCCACTTACGCTACCAGCAATAAAAGCAAATCCAATTTTCTACTGCAAACTCAAAACAAAAACCCCTCAGCGATTCCTCCTATTTTTCCACATGGCCAATGTCTGCCGGCGGGATGAGAATTTTTATGCAAATTGAAAAGAATTACAGAGAGCATGAAAATGGGATTAACATCGACCCGGCCGCGCGCGCTGTGTGCCGCGCGGATACACGCGGAAAACGAAGCAGAATTTCATTAGTGTTATGGCTGGTGTGTTTTCTGTTGTAGCCGGCGCGTGTGTGCGAGCCCGAGTAAGGAAAGAGCGCGCTTTACACGCGAAAAACATTTCCATTATCATCACACCAGGCCGTGGGCGCGCACTTCTCTCTTTTTTTTTTAAATAAACATGCGCCAGGTTTTGTTTACAATTGCGATAAAAAAAGCAGCAGTCCCTCTATTCCGTCGCCTCTCTTTCTCATCCACGAGTTGTTGTTGTTGAATGAAAAGTCGAGCAAAAAGTGAGGCTGCCGTGAATTATTCAAAAGTTGTGCTCGAAATGTGTTCCGATAGAACGGTTCTGTCGGCAAACAGGACTCGCTTTTATTGCACTCAGCCGGAGATGATTGGAAGCAGGTCAATTGGAAGGCGATTGCATTGCAAACAAGCCCAGGCCACACATGCATGCTAGGCCACGGCGCAAATGGGACGCGGCCAACTGCTCAAATGACTTCCTGATTAAAAAAAACCACCCTATGCTGTTGCCCGCCGAGACTCGACTTGTTGTGGAAATTCGGTTTCAACTCCAAGAGAGATCGACTTGAGTAGGTCTCAAGCGGTCCAAATTCGATCTGGTGGAATTTCCATATCCACTCTTAAACCAAAAAGTGTTGTCTGTTTCTTAGCAATTTGATTCCGAGATCAATTCAGTAAAGTGTCACACCCAATAATGTCAATTTTTTGTTGTGTTAATTAAATTTAAATTTTTAACATTTAAATTGGCTACATAATTTTCTGTAATATGACTAAACATTAAATTAATTTTGAATTATTTGAGTACATATGATGTATCTTCCTATGGGCTGAGAAAAATCAATAAACATACTTTCCAATGAAGAGCACAAAGTTGACACTGGAAAATTAATTAATCAAAATAACATCATGTATGTTTGAAATAAACTATGCTACTGTTGGTTTATAAAAAAAATATTTTTGTATAAAGAGAGAAGTTTTCAGGTTTTTATTCAACAATATTAAAATTAAAAAAAAAAAAATAATAATAATAATGATCGTGGAATTCTAGTGTGTACAAGATAATTTTTTTTTTTTACTTAACATGATTACTGTTCTTTACTACCATTTCACAGTTAGCAGACAATCTAACAATAAGAAAACCTAACATTAAAACTTAAAACCTTTTAAAATCCAGAATTTTTCCGTCCGTTTAATATAAGCTTTGGTTAAAAACTGAATTCTCATAGTGGACGTGTTGAAATTTCGCTTGATTAACAAAACTTTACGAGTTTTTTTTTTATCGCAGAGCGTAAACAGTTGCGGATCATGACAATTTCGGCATACTTGCCATTCTATTTCGTTTTCACTTGACCAGACAACCACAACAATATCACAAAGTTTATTTTTGCCCGTATACGAGTCGTTTTTATTTGCACACAAACACACACTCGCAAAAGGTCAAAAGCTGCAGTGGAGCGACGCGAGCGGTCGAGCGCGATAATGTGGCGAATGTGGACGAATGGCCGCCGATATTCATCATCATTTGGTGTCCCGCATTGTTGTTTATTTAGATAAACGTGGTGTGCTGTGCGCGCCCGACTTGCATCATCATCAAACACAGAGACGAATATCTCGTGGCGACCCTCGCCGACCTCTCTCACTTTTGAATGTATATGCGCGGGGTGTGTTGTGTATGTTTTGCTATATTTTCACGAGTACCTGCCTGGCACTGGGCCAAGCCGAATCGATTTTAAAACAGGGTCATCACCGACTGCAGGCCCGCTCGCCTGCCATTATGTGTTTTGTGTGTACACGTTATTCAGCCATTCAGCTGCTTTTTCAATGCCCCGCAGAAAAAAACTTTTCTGCTGCTGCTCTTCGAGCTCGAGGGGCTTTTCAGCAGCGTGTGTGTGATCGAGGCAGCCAGCCGTGCGCCATTGAATGTGTGTTTTTTCGCTTTCCGACGCCGCCACCGCACATTCAATTAGATAAATTGCGAATTCAGAAATGATTCGGAATTTTTTTTTGCTGATTTCTGGTGCTGACGGGCAAATTAATTGGGTTGGTCCGCCTTATTTTAGTAATGGGTGTGCAAATATAAACACAAAGTAAAATTTCGGTCAGCCAAAACAAACACGCGTGCTAATTTCACAGCATGTTTGCCTTGCGTATGTATTCTTCTTGTGCACGTCGTGTTTACCTGAGCGGCAAGACTATAAACAGCCTAACCCTCGGAACTATATATCCATTGTTGATTTAATTGCTTCTGGCCCAGTGAATTTGGATACTGCCACGACTAGCTTAGAGAGGGAAAGCGGTCAAATTACGCAAGTGAGGAAATCCGAGCACCAACTTTACATGCAACATGATATTTGTTCGCTGATTTTGAAAAGAGAAAATAACACGGCACATGGCGCCAACCCTTGAGCTATAAATTGTTTATAAATATACCATGGATGACGTTTGTATAGTTGTGTACGATTATTTGAAAGCGGATAATCTAAATTAAAATTGTCCTCTTTAATAATGTTGAAATATTTTTTTTTTATACATCCAGAAATTTTCAAAAATTTGGTACATATAACTTGCGTGCTCCATGAGATAAATTATGAAATTTACAATATAAGTGTTACGATGAAATTTATTTAATTAAGCTGATTAAACAGAAATAACAATTGAATATGTACACAAAACACATAACTCAAAATTAATTATATTGCAAAAAATTATTTAAATTTAAACAATATCATAATGATTAAATTCAATTATTCTTTAATTTTAAGGCCGGTCAAACCAATCATTGTATTGCCTTCTTTACCCACTTTAAAATTAAAGTTTTGGATGAAATATATAAATTAAAATAAAATTTTTTGAGAAGGTAGAATCGCATAATAAGTGATTTATAATTTTAGGTAAATATTACAATTTTCTTGTTTTAGGGGGGGTCAAAATGTATTATTTGGAGGAACAAAAAAAATCTAGAAGCAATATCGGAGAAAAGAAATCAAAAAATTTATATGCATTTTCTTAAATAATAATAACTTCTTAACTGCATTTTTACAAATAAATATCATTTACTTACAAGTAAAAATTGCAAAATAACATAATTTTCAAAGCATGTTCAACCTGCTTTAATAAATAAACAGGAAGAATGGAACTCAATCTCAAAAAGTTAACCAGATCTCCGCCCTTTTGCTTTTGTTTCTGGCACAATCACAAGGGTTCAAAATTGCAGCCAGCTATGGCCTCATCCACTGTCCTCCCTAACGTGAAGTAGTTAGGCATTCTTCATGTGTTGAGAGAGAAAACAGAGAGTGGTAAGAACAGGGACGGTTAATAAAAGGTCGTCAGAAACCTAGGCCGCACTCGAATGAATAGTGAATGCTCGTAATCACACCAGCGGCACTAGATTCTCTCCAAGGGTCGGCCGTCATTCTGCTCCTCGCAACACCAGCGCGTCTCTCTCAATTACAGGCAACACCTCACCCATCCACCCACTCTGCTCAAATATTCGCCCGTGCATTATTTACGGCTCGTCTGCCAGTGTCAGCTCGGCCCGCGTCGAAAGAGCTCTTGAACTTCAACTCGACCCCTTCGGCAAGTACAAATACGTACTACACAAATTGTTCAAACACAATTTCACTAGAGCAAATAAATAAGCTTAAATAAATAAAATTTTATTAATGTTGACTCTTGCAAGTGACACACGAATTGGATTGTTTTGTTGAAAAAAGGCATGATGATGATATTAATTCAGATGAATTTCTTTAAATAAAATTTACCTTGAATCTTTAAATATAATAACGCTAGTGATCTTTTTTTAAATCAATTTATTTCATTTTGCAAGTAATACGGTTAAAACAATGCATGTTGTATATTTTTAAATCCAAATAATTAAACTAATTCTAACATGTATCCAAACTTGCGCAATATTTTCAATAGAAAATACTCTTTAAAAAT